CCCCACTACAGCATTTTCTATAAGCAGTTCTCTTTGCTCAAGCCGGTGTGTAGTAAAGCTGTCGTTAGATAGTGAGACCACGTTGCTTAATAACTTGACATGAAATGTTTATCTGACCATAAAATGGTGTAGTTTGAAGACGTAGTCACGCATATTGACATGCACTACAAGAAAATCTCGAAATAGGCCAATTATTACATGGGTTTTAAGGAATGTACAGAATTTTTTTAAGAGGCTAAGCATTCTACCGAGCCTTTATCAAGTGGTTAACGCTACGTTAAACAAGATAATAATGAATGCTTGCTTTATACATCAAGTTCTGCAGGGAACAACTATAAATCAACTTGGCGTGCTCCTTACTAATCCACAAAATGAGGCTGTTTACATTATAGTGAATTCCTCCATCAACAGTTCGTGGATACCCCGTTCAAAATTGCATCGTGATTTGCCGCGCGATGCATGAGTAGTGCGATAGTGTGCCCTCGAAGTTGCGCCCGTCCTCGTGGGAAGGGGACCCAGAGATCAGTGGTAAGGCCATTGACTTTTTTCTTGGGTTTGAAAATTGCCTGTGAAAGCTTGTATCCACTGGGTGAGCGCGTAACCTATTCGATGTGGTGACCAGAAAAACATACAGTGAAGAAATGAAAAAAGAGTAATATAGTTTATTATGGAAGGGTTTCAAGATTCCGTGTAACTTTCGACTGAGTCCTAGGTATATCGATGGGGGCTGGAATGCTATTAACAAACATGGACTCAAAACTGTTGAATCAAATCCATAAAAAAGGCATAAGCGCTCATTGTGAGCTTGCTCGAAGTTTGGAGATAGTGTCAGTAGTAATGCGCAGTTGTCCGCAATGGTAAAGACAGTGCGTTTTTGCACATAGTTCACTCTCTTTCACTTTCAACGTTGAAACACACACACGAAAGAAATCGCTCAAGAGCAGATACTTCGGAAAATTCAACATTGATGCAACAGCCAAAATTTGTGGAGGAAGAACTTTGTTCACAAATTTCACGCGTTATACATGCTGTCTCGCAACAACACGGGAAGGCATCGTCTTGATTGTTTCATCACCAAACATGATACTTGCGGATAGATCAAAATTTCGGCACGGTATTCTAGTAGACACTTGCTGTTGCGCTATTAATTAGTTTTCGTATGAGAGTCATAGCAATTACATATAGAAACGTTCTGCCTGAAAAAGTTTGATAAAGTTAACTAACGACCGAAATAAGGCGTTCACTTAAAAGAATATCAGAAAACGTTTTGAAACTTTCATTTGAAGAAAGTTGGCTGTGCGGAAACCTCCAAGACGGCAAATAGCAGTCTAATATATTTTATCTAAAAAGAAAGAGCACTACCTTGACGTCACGGCGGCGCTTGGTGTCTTCATGGAGAACTGCTCATTTCAATTGATGTCATCTTAAAGTTTTGAACGTCCCATAAATTTTCGGAAAACTCGTTCAGCATTCTCAAGTTTCATATTGTCAAACAGCACTCTAAATTCCATCGGTGAACCTAGACTCTATTCAAGGTCTCGTGGGGATTTGAAACCCTTCTCTTGTTAGTTGTGATCTTGAACACTGAACAATCGGTGATTCAGGACCATAGTCAACCATTGATGAATGTTTGAAAAGTTTTCTGATTTATATTAGCAAATATTAGAATAAGTTCCGCATTTGATTACTCCAATAACCTGAGCATGTCATGTGATGTTTTATACCATGCTGCATGACTGCTATTGGTGAAACAGCTTTATTGTTCCCAACAATTGGTCGTCGTCAAGGACACGAAATTTCCTGTACCGTTGACGTCTCGCGCGGATAGGTGATCAATAGGGGCAGATGGGATTTATGGACAGTAATAATGTAAGAAGTTGGCCGTGACCTGAGAGTCTATAAAAAGGTAGTGCTTGACATGCTTGACGTAACTTGTTATAATCGGCATTTTGTTTCAATAATTAGGATCTTATTGTGATCTGTTAGGATTAGGTTTTAGATACCTCACCTCAATTCTCATTACACTTCTCGATTCCGCTTTGCCTTCAATTAACCTCTCTATTGGTGAGTCTTGTGAGATCATTAGTGAGATCATTACTAATGTCATGGATGATGTTATTAGGTCGTAAGGACAGTTCTTGCCGTTCGGGCGGCTAATTTTCGAAAATAATAACTCATCTCAAAAAGAAGTTTTTTTATCCAAAATGAGTCCTACTGAATTCTACACATCCTTGCCAATTTGTACAAGTTAGCTAGACCACCAAACTTTGACCATCGCCTTCTTGAGCGTAAACGTGGCTTGGGACACTTTAGGACAAAGGCCGATCAACACCGATGGCATCGTAATCAACTAACGATAGTCCATTACCAACTCGACCAACTCGCTTTTTTTCCTTCAGTGACTCGTCTCCGTTTCTGAACTTCTGAAACCCGTGACGAACCGTTCGCTCCGATGCAGTGCCTTCTCCTCATGCATGCTCCATGTTTGCGGCTGCCTCCTCTGCAGTTCGACCAAGCTTGAATTCGTTTAGCAAAACCATTCAAAAAGCAGTCAAAGCCCGTTCTGCAAAAAAAAGCTCAAAAGATTCCAGAAACCTCACGCAATTTCGGGAAAAACGCTCTGAAAAGAAAGCAACTTGAAGCTCATCAAGGAGCGCAATACTTTGATTGGCCATGAATTTCCAGGTTGCGTGCGCGGAACAGGCCAGAACTTTCCTCACAACCCAATACAATCATTCCCTCTACCCATTAACTTTGTCCTTTGACCGAATTGCTGAAGGGCCTCCGAAAACGTGGAGATGGTTTCTCTTATTAAGAGACGAAACGAGCCCTATGCTATCAAATGATTTCGCCATGTATTGTTGGATTTTGTGCGCTCATGTTTGGTATTTTCAACACTTTTATATCGATCTCGTTCTTGTAATCTAAGATTCTGTCTTCAGTGGCGGGAACATTGCCCCGAAGTTATTCTGTTGGTACTATCATCTCAGCCATCGAGATTGAGATAGGGATTTTGAAGTTATAGAGGGCTCACACATACACGCCCGAAATCCAAAGTTGAACAACCAGATCAATAAATGCGTGGCTGTATAACTTACGACTGTCAACGTTGTATCATTAGGTCTTTGTTGTTAACTTACTTTGGTACTATTCAGTGTTGGTCGAGTCGCAGAAAGGGGGATTCTTCGATAGAAATGGCTTTCGAGATTCCCTCTAGGATGAACCTGTGTCCTTCAAAGATAGCACATGGGACTTTGTCGGATCGAAAAACGATCTCCATACAACGCTAAAGGCGCTCCATAAACGGTTTGCTCGGAATGCACATTCAAAAGTGGCACTGTCATGACGACCTTGTTCTTCTTTTAATTCTTTAGCGTCTATCCCGCTTGTAGGTGGGGTCCGCTTTTCTGATATGTTAACGCCACTTCTCCCATTGAACGCTTGATTAGGATGAATGTTAACCGTTTTTAAGCGTCTTCGCGCAGCGTAACGAGCCATCGCTGCTTTGACCGTCGTCTGGGCTTTGGACGTCGTCTTTCCGGACACCTCAAGGTTGATACCGATCTCACGGATACTGTCATCATTCGCGCGGAGAACATGACCATAACTGGGCTTTGCGCATTCTATCGACAATGGGGCTACACCGAATCGTTCCCTTATAAAGTATTACTGTATTATTAGCGGCCTAGTCGTGTTACTCTGGCTGTCTAGTGCAGTATCTTTTTCTCCATCACAACGAGACCGGCTTCAACTTCATTAGTCGCAGGCCAGCTGTTAGCGCCGTAAATTGCGATTTCAGACCATCAGGCATGTCCTTATCGCAGAGTACGCCTATCATAGAGCGCCACTTCAACCACGCTGCAGTCACGCGAGAATTCGTTTCAAAAACCAGGCTGCCGTTGGACGCAATTGTTGATCCAATATACTTGAATGTTTTTGCCCGTGTGACCTCAGTACCATTGATCTTGATACAGCCTGGCTCGCTCGGATCGGTGGTCAGTTACTCAGCCTTTTTGACGTTTGATTCAAGCCCGAACATAGAGAGACGGACGGACCGGGTTTACACCCTTACCTCGAGCTCGCTTTTGTCTTCGCGACGAACATCACGTCATCGGCATAAAAGAACGTCCACATGGAGCCGGTTTTGAGAGGATTCTTGTAATTCTTTGGACTAGAGTAAAGGAAGCGACCCACTTCATAAGCTCTTCGGGCACGCCATGCTGTCGTAAGGCATATCTTATAGCGACACGCGGAACGCGATCGAAAGCCCTTTCAAGGTCTACAAAGCCAAGATGTACCGATCTTTGTTTCTCGCGATGCTTTTTTAGTAGAAGGCGAGCGGCATGTATGCATAAAAATCTTTGAGTGAATTGTAGACAGTCGTGTTCGTGACACCGTATCACGATGCCACGAATACACTGTCTACAATTCGCTCAGAGATTTTCATGCTATGCAAGGGCCAAGCGAACTGGACGGTAGCAGGTGCAGTCCCTTGGACTGCCCTTCTTCTTACAGACAGGAATCGTCGTGCTCTGCTGATAGTTCTCACGCCTCTTCTTCGCAACGACCTGGTTGAAAAATTCCGTCAACCACCCTGCAGGATTCCAGCCCTTTGATTTCCACATATCCGCCGCTAAGTCGTCAGGACTAGTTACTGTGCATGATTTCAAACTCTTCATAGCCGTATTGGTCTCGTGCGCGGTTATCTTTTGAATGGAACAGTGTACTGAGGGAATGCAAGGAATTGCGGGATGAGCAAGACTATTGAGATGTTTTCAGAGTACTCTCGCCATCGTTTCAATGTTTGCTTGCGGTCCGTCAAGAGGTGACCCTTCTCGTCATTCATGCCGAAAAACTTTTCTACATCCTTGGTCTGGCGATAGCTCGTCTTTGCGAGTCGGTGAACGTACCGCTCACCATCGCGAAACTCGGGCTTCTCGTTGAGGTCGGCATAACAAGCTGCATTCGCAGAAGCAACGGCTTTCTTTTCCTCGTTCTTCCTATCTGGTAGCCCTGCCAGTTATCACCTGCCTTTCGAAGAGAAATGCATGGTACTGCTTTTTCTTCTCACGTACTTTATCTCCGACATAGTCTATCCACAGCCATACTTGCCTGTTAACCTTTCGCGCCCTGGCTTGGCCATGCCGAGCTCCGACCACGCATCCCTGGTGATCGCTTCGGCAGCTCCCTTCCAAGTTTCGTCGACAGTCGTTACCGCTGGTAATAGAATGCGGTAAACGATGGCTGCATCTTGCTCCTTCAGACGCCACCATTTGATTCTCGTTGGCCCACACCTTTCAGCTACTTTCGATTTCGGCGGGACGATCTTTAGCGTACAAATCAGTGGTCGGTGTTGTGCTGCAACCGTTTCACTGTCTTCTGTTACGAGCCACTGATCGCCTGACAAAAACGAAATCAATTTGTGATCTGTTCTCACCGCTATAGAAGGTTATGAGATGGTAGTCACGTTCCCGAAATTTCGTGTATACAATGGCGAGATTATGCGAATCTGTATATCCGAAAATTCGCTCACCATTAGTGTGACGACCCATATCCAAAAACACCATGACAGCTATAATCGATCGTAGCGTTGAGGTCATCCGCGACAACAGTGGCTTCTTGTAATGGTACCTCAGCTGTCTTTTCATCGAGCAGGTACCATAGTGTTGTCCTTGGTTCAGTCTGTGAAGCTGAGAAGAGATGGTATTTCTGGCGGTTGGTGACTACAAAGATCTTCATTGAGCAGTCATCGAAGCGTTTTTCACTTACTATCGAATCACGGAACCGTTCAGAGTCAATTATCCCGATTCCACTGGTGGTTTTTAGCCACCATAAAGAACGGCTTTGAAGCTGTGGCCAATGTACTTAGGCTTGTAGCAGAACCACCTAGTTTCCTGCACGGCACACAAATCAACTCGTCGACGCTCTAGAGCTATACAAGCGTCCCGTTTATATGCCAACATTTAATGTCGCAACAGGTCTTCCATACGTTGCGTGGCTTTCGGACTAGCTTAGTTGCCCCCGATTCCGTCCTTGCACCGAGGATCGTTACATACTTTTCGCACTCGCCGCGCTTTGCGAGTGAGCGTCGGCTCCCGCGAACGCCTGGCACGGGGTTCTGCCGCCTGCTTTCGTATGTGCGTGATAGCTCAGCCCACAGAGTGAGCGATCCCGGTGGCACTCCTTGGGGGATCGGACATCACCACCTGTCATGACGGTCCTGTTGAGGCTGCAAAATTCACAATGAAGCGTCAGGACGGTTACAAACACGTAGTCTCGCACGACCTCTTTATTACTACTTTTTAAAGCTTCATAATTCTTGAAATCAGGCAATATTTCTCACAATTTTTGCAATATTTCGCAGCAGTTCTTCAATTATTTTACTTATGCTTGATACATCAAAACAATCGTGAACAAGTGAACAGTGCCTATAATAAACCTAGGCGATAAAGCGATATAAGACATAACAGAACATAGGGTTTTCTCTTGAGTCATCGGTCAATGACAATATCTGACCTGCAGAAAGTTTCAACAGCAGAAGCGATGGATTCGGGAAGCTGATGATGAATTATTGGGAAGTGGCCGAGAATTGCGTTTTTAATGTGGTTTTTGTTTTCCTCCAACAATCACCAGTACTCGTTAGGGTCCCGTTCTGGCCCACCCTTACTTTTTTTTTCGAAAGAGTAGTTGGTTTTCGGTCATCACCGAGCTTCTGTGTCTTCATCGGTCATCGGTTGACTGCGATCATTAGGCGTTTCCATTAGACTTTCCTACTCGATGGTGTTTCATTACATACTAATGCGAGTGGTTAAGTATACATAAGAATCGAAATATGAGTTTCAACGCTCTTAAAAACACGCAGTTTCTGGCTTGGTGTTGTTAGCTACTGTTATATCGCCGCAGAACGCGCTCTGAAAGTCACACAAGGTTGGCGATTTATGGACAAAACTTCTGTCTCGGACGAGACTCTAACCCGTACTTGTCCTTTCCGGGGATCGTGCTCTTATTGCTTACACTACCGAGATCCCGCTTGCCCTCGCTTTCTTAATGGCTTATATGCCATAGCTTATTAACACTCACACGTACAACGTATTGAGCCGGTCGGCCGTTATATCATGTAATACTTTCAGCTTAAGGTTCAAGTTATTCATGGCTTAGGTTATAACGATCAAGTCAAAACAAGTTATATCATGTAAAGCTTTCAGCTTAACGGTTTAGTGCAGATATTGGCCGACCGGCTCAATACGTTGTACGTGTGAGTGCTGATAAGCTATGGCATATAAGCCATTAAGAAGGCGAGGGCAAGCGGGGTCTCGGTAGTGTAAGGGATAAGAGCACGGTATCCGGAAAGGACAAGTACGAATTCGAGTCCCGTCCAAGATTGAAGTTTTGTCCATAAATCGCCAACCTTGCGAGACACGCAGTTTCATTTATTTACCCTACCTCCGTGCGCATTTGGAACCGTGAGGTGGATAGTATGTGTCATTATCTACAGGTACCAACCATATGACTTGTTACAGAGAAAAAATTGACTGGAAAGCTTTCTGCAGTTTTCTAGGAATCGGGGAGTATGATATCGATCCTCCCTCGGAGGTAGAATTTTGCAGACCAGGTGTATATCTTTGGCGCGGTTCCTCGCATCAAACTTGCCATTGGGGCACATGGGCTTATGCCTATTTGGCGGACTTTACCTACTTAGCGCCGCCCATTCGACGCGGTTTGTAGGGTGGACGACTCGTCCATGTGATTCAATCTTTTTATCATGCTAATCAGCCTTCCCACTGCCCATCCAGCTGATATGCGTCCGACCGATGACGCCACTACAAGTGACGCCTACGAACTGCTTGAACTCGGTCTCTTTATTTGTGGCGACCGAGGCTATTTCTCTTCCCTCGTATGTCGTACTCCGGTTCGCTCCAGTCTTTAACTGCTGTGCCTGTCTGACCAATGGAACCCCCACCACCAACCCTGGGTTCTTCTAGGGTATTTTTCTACGCTCTCTAACGCTTTGCGATAAGGAAGCAGAGAAAATTTAAGTAGTCACGTAACACTATTAGACGCCGAATTGCGGACCCACTTGTATTCTGTCTCGTGTTTACACCGTCTATTTTGCTATTTTTCTCGCTTCTTTCTGTTTTTGAAGATTCTTCAATTCCTGTTCCAAATAAATACTTTCAAGTTACAGTGAAGCGGTTAAATCGTGGTCGTTTTTGAGCCTGGTACTTCCTACTTCAAAATAATTTGCAGTACATATGTATAACGGATTGATCGTGTGGTAAGTGTTCTATTGTTTCTCCTTTAAAAAACATTTGCCTATTACGATATTTTATTTCTATCATTAACCTTATTGGCATGCGCATTATTAAATACTTTTTCCGGATACATATCTTGACATACATTTGCAATATTACTCTAATTCCGCTCTTGTGACCCCTCTGATTTACTGCTCTCCGAACCTTTACAGATTATTCATATAATTTAGCCCCTCCCGCCGGCTGGCGTTTAGGCGTGTACTCGTGTCCGATTTTAAGTAATTTTGGTTTATGTAACAACCAGTTGCTCACGCACGCATGCTAACGCGTGCACCTTATATCACTATCGCTTACCTACAATTTATTAGAGTACCAACAATAGTGTCGGTTGACTTCCCATTTCATAACTGTTTCCTCAACGCGCTCACGTGATATTCACATCCACATCGTGCCTACGTGACTTTCGGAAGGACAGACAGACAGAAAAACAGACAAACGGACGTTTGCCGTTTATATATAGTAAGGATAATATTACTGTTTTTTTTCTAGTTTTTAGTATTTCACTAGTTTTTAGTATTTCATCATATGCTCTAATGCAAAGCTCCTGTGTTCTTCAGTTATGCGGGAGTTCATCCTAAACGACTTGCCTCTTCGCGTTCAAAGTTGCGGTTTTGTGGTTAGGTAGATGTGCGAGGACATAGAGGGATGGCGGCCCCCTTGCTCGAGTTCTCTTGTCCGTCCCCCCGGGGTCGTAGATCTAACTGTAATGTCGCAGCTTGAAAGACTCAATGAACCTTTCAAAATAGAGCTTCCATGAGAAAGAATGTGCTTGTCAGCTCCTAAATTTTTCTGTAGAACCTTTTTTCAGCTGGTTTACATTACGTGATGACGTTCATCAGCAACTGGAGGTCTTGACATATTGGAAAACGAATAGAAAAAGTTGGAATGGAACTGAAGATTAGTTCTTCATTGCCTTTACAAATTCCAAAAAAAAAGCTAGACGAGATTAAAGAACTTTTTTTTCGAGAGAGTAGCAAATGGAGATCCTCATCACCACGAAACGTAAACAGTGGAGCGAATTTAATTGTAATTAATGGCCTTTTAACGATCACAATGATTTCGGATCAAAACCAAAAAACAAAAAAGTTCGAAAAGAATAGAAGGGAAGCAAAACATCACAAAATGGTAGCCATTATGATCACAAACGTTAGGAAGGGTGAAATAGAGTAAGGCAGCCACTCCATTGCGCTTCCCCTTCTGCTGATTGCTGAAAAAAATACATAGTTACAACACCCTTCCCACTAGTAATGCATCACCTATGATCAACATGGACATGAAAACAAAATGAAACTAGCTGCAATCTTTTTTTGGTTCAAAGCTCGCTCAAAATGCTTGATTTCAGCGCTTATTTCTGCATGCATATTCAAATATCAAATGCGGGCGCTTACGCGAGTTTCGTTCATTTAATCACGTGAAGATGTTTTATGTTGAAGACGTTCTTTCATATTTGAGTGAACAAAACCCTGTACATTTCGGTATCAATAATGTCGGTATAATGAATATCGAGAGCAGCTGTTTTGTAATAAGAAGCCAAAAAGCAGGGATCAGCAGGGATTCTGTTAGCGCTGATTTCGCGCCTCCTTCTTAGCGCTCGCGATTCCAGCGAGCATTAAGGAGGGAATGCGAAATCAGCAAGAGGTGAAGACTGATGGAGAACATTAAATGCAATTGAATGAGAATTAAAGAATTGAGAAAAAACAAAACATTCCTATCACTTTCACTACATTTCCCTACCTACCTCCCCTTAGACAACCTTGCAAAAGCCTTGGATTTATGTCATGATATGTATTTGGAAAACTATTTGATAGTTTGCATGTCAATAAAGTTAAAGATAGAAATAAGCATCAAGATAAACAAATGTTTTCCAAAGAAGAAACAATAAAACACTCACCACACGATCAATCCGTTATACCTATGTACCGCGAATTACTTTGAGAGAGGAAGTACCAGGCTCCCACGATACCACGATACTACCACTTCACTGTATTTTGACAGATTCAATTAGAAAGGGAATTCAAGAATCTCCAAAAGCAGACAAAAGCAAAGCAAAATAGACTATGTAAATAGACCCACAAGGTTGGCGATTTACGGACAAAACTACATTCTATAAATATAAACGCGTACTGTGGCGACAGCAATTAACAAAACATCAAGTCGAAACAAGATGTAAATAGACAAAATACAAGTGGATCCGCAATTTGGCGTCTAATATTAGCTTGATGCATAATCATTGCGGATTTTTCGCGGCTTCTTTTCTCTCGATAAAATTAAATTCTTGAAATCGCGATTTTGGTAGAAATAATCTTCTCGCTTTCCCTAACAGAAGTTTGTCTAGAAAGTCTTCTTCATATACGCCCCATTATGCATTATTACTTCGAGGAATGTTGGAAGGTGGCACACTCATAACGTGATCTCAACGAACTTTTCGGCGATGGAACAGTCAGCCAAAGCCGAATAAAGAATGGAATCTGCCTCCACGGTCGCCCTATTCACCAACAGAAACTACTATGGATTATCACGTTGACCGCCCGTTGAAAAATTGGTTAACGAACAGAACTTTCGACGGAGTGGATGGCTTGATGGCTAACGTCAAGGCGTGGACCGCCTCCAAGAACTACAACTTCTTCGCCTTAGGAAACCGACTGCCTAGCAGATGGGAAGCAGTACTCGACGTAGATGGTAGATATGTTCCGGAGCATTGTTTGAACATGTTTTTTTGCTAGATATTTCTATCATTTCTTGAAGTAGAACTTGCTGAAAAAAATCCGCAATAATTATGCATCAGCCTAATGGTAGCGGAGTCAACGACCGCGCGTAGATCAGCTGGCGGGCAGTGAGATGGCCGACTAGCATGATCAGAAGATTGAATCGCATGGACGAGTCGTCCACCCCACGAACCTCGTCGAATGGGCGGAGTCAAGGATGCAATTATAAGCCCATGTGCCCCAATGGCAAGTTTGATGCGAGGGGCCACGCTGTTGGATCGTACACTTGAGATACTTTTTTAAAACAGATGAATCGGGTGAAGTGATTGAAGCAGATGAATCGAATGAGGCGAATGAATGTTTATCCATGCTGCAGAGATCCTTATAGAGGACACTATCACTGTTTTAACACGTATGGTCACTGTCTTGACAAGTGTCGTGGCTGTCTTGACACGTATAGGTGGTCGTCTTTCTACATTAGAACATGTCCTCTTCATCCCATACCACCTTCTTCGACATGTCACCAGACAGAAATCTTCACAGTGGAAATTGTTAATCTAAATAAACAATAGAGAACATGCTAACACAGAACAAATTGCGTAAAAAAAGCACTTCACTTAATATGCTCTCTCCTATAGTCACGTCTGTGACACTCCCTCTGACCTTGGTATTGGCTAGTCAGGTGGCACTTGGGTCCGTATTAATTGAAATTTTCCAGTTCGTGTTCGATTTCTTCAACTTCTTTGTAGCACTCCTGGATTTCTTCCGGCAATGTACAGTGTGCTTTATTATGCTTCTCTGACCCGCAGTACATGCCCTGTCTTATTTCATTTCGACAATGCTCTGTGTTGTGTCGACTATCCATACTTTGCATCGTGCTCGTTTTATTCGGGATTTTGCGCTGACATATGTGGGACAGCTATCTGAATAATGTCTTCCTTTCGTCAGGCAGAAGGAAAAAACCAAGTATAGCTCTTGAGGTCTCATCGAATTCTACTCGTTTATCTTTGGTTCTGGTACATTTTGGTTTTTTTCTCGAGTACCTTTTGATTTCCGTGAGACGTGCTTCTAATTTCAAAATCTTCTAATGTCCGGGGTACCTTGTGTTGTCATCGTCAGTTGAGTAGGAAAGCGTATTGATCGAGTCATCGCGACTTTGGGACTCTTCAAATTCGTAGTCCAAACCCAGAGGATCTTCTTCGAGTTCCTCGGTGTTCACCTCTCTTAATTTTGTCTTCTGCTTTGCATGCTCTGAACGCTCCGTATGCTCTAGATGCTCTGTATGCTTTTGCTCTGTATGCTTTTGCTCCTCTTGCTCGGAGTTAGTTCTTGTTGCAATGTTTTTTTTTATTTTTTCAATTTTTTCGCAAAGCTTTTTTCATACTTTCGCTTTGGTTATCCATCTCCGTTTGAAGTTCCATATGCTTGACATTGATTTCTCTCTTCAAGTCCTTTATCATTTCTCTTATTTGATCAAATTGCAAGACCGTCTTTATGCAGGCTCGCTTATAACGACTTTCATCGATAAACTTGCAATTCTCCGCTTGACGTTTTGTGATCGTTCTCTGAAGCCATTGCTCTAAAATGGAAATTCTTCGAATGAAAGGCGCTCAATGGATGGGCTCACTTTGTGCTAACATTTTTTGTACATTTTCCCAAGATTTCTCCCTGATTTTGAGTACGAAGTGATATCAGTGCTTGGTCTCAGATTTAAATGGATGGGTAATGTGTCGGAGCTAACGTGCTGCTCTATGATTCTGCTGTGCTTTTTATGCTTTTTCCGACTATGAAGTAATATGTGGTCGAAAGTTATGTTATAGTAAATGTGCTATTAAGTGATAATTTTCTGGATGAGCTTCTCCTGATCCTTAAAAATTTGGCACCGATCTTTGAACTCATGTACTCATGAGCTTTTTGGTTTTCATGCAACGATGATTAGAATGGGATGGATTTGATGTTTTGTTGCTTTTCGGCTGAAGTCTGTACTTCACAAGCGGCTGATAATACAGTCAACGTCAATGCCATTTTGAGGCCAAGTAGTGTTGGCCAAGTTCTACTCGGACGGGTAGTTAAGTGATGAGTGTTAGCCTGGATTTGATGATTACATTCCGTGTAGTTGTTTCTTCTTTTTCGATATGGATAATGCTTATTTGATGACTGTGATTCTGCTTGACATATCTCGTCTTTCGACATTCCAATTTGCTGTGATTTCTCCCCATTATCCGGTATTTCCAGGGGTACAAGTTGGTTTATTGGACGGCGAAGTGTCCTGTAGTTGCAGCGAACCTCCGCCTCTCTTATTGCTCCATCACTGCTTGGAATTAATTTGGAGATACGTACGTATTCCTCTTTTGGTGTAGGTCACTGAGAAGGACTACTGTTCCTTCACGAACGTCCTCAGTGCTTCCTCGTCTTTCACTGATACTTCCTCGATGTTTTTCCCGGAGAACAGTCATGTATTGGTTTCTCCATATTTCCCAAAAAGCTCCGTTATTTTGTGCTTGCTTAAAGACTTGTTTCCAAGCGTGTTATCTCAGTCGCGGGTAGGTAAGGCGGATCTGTGCAGTCATGTTCTGAACTATCAAATGGATATGTGACATTCGTCATGTTCTGTCTGAAGTCGATAGGTCGTAAGGGTGTAGTGCTATCATTGAAGTCTCTTTCTTGATACGTTAGAGGTCTACTATTTAGGCATCCCTCAATCTCGACAAGAGAGAGGGAAACCATAGCTGCTCTAATGTTAGTATGCGCTTTCCTGGCGCCTTTATCAGGGCTTCTTTTACTAATTCAATTGAGCGTTCATAAAAACCGCCTTTCCTCGGTGAGTACGGTGTTATGTGCTTCCACTCTATCATCTGGTTGCTCATGTTGTGGGATATTTCGTCATCCTCGAGTTCGTTCAAAATTTGACTCCCGATTATAAATGTTGGTGCATTATTACAAGTTACTGATTGAGGTCTGCCTCGACGAGATACGAATCGACGGAAGGCGTTCAGAAACTTTTCTTTAGTTCCGTCTGTTACAACCTCTAGATGTACAAGGCGAGTAACGCAGCATTTGAATATGCATGCATACACTTCAGTGCGACTTCCTATTTCCGCCGAAACTGTGATCGAGCCGAAGTAGTCTAATCCTATATTTTCAAACGGCCACGACTTTTTTACTCTTTTTTCAAATAGATCTGTCATTTGCGGATATTGATACGGTAAAATATTCAGCTTCTGACAAGGTACGCATGAAGGTATGCACCTTTTCACTTGTTCCCGAAGCTTCGGTACCCAGTACTGTTGTCACACTTCTACCATGGTGTGTCCAGTACTATTGTGATACATCCTGTGCGCTTTCAGCACAATAAGGCGGGCTGACTCTGTGTTGGGTACGATCGAGATGAGATTCCTTGCCATGCTTGCTAAATCCGACTTATTGAGTCGACCGTATGCTCTCTGCAATGCTCTAGATCTTCCTTTTCATTGAGAGTCTTGAGTAGTTCCCTCTATAGTTTGAACGTAAGTGTATTGTTTAATGGTTTCTTATCATCTTTGATTCCTGAAGCTGTTGTGCACCGTCTTCCAATGGGCTCATTACTACCAGAAAGTACATGGAGTAGATTGTTCCAAACTGGTTCTCGTATTCGAAACCAAATAAAGCAGGCCAGGATTCTTAGAGATTTCGATTTACTGTTGTATCTGGATAAATCAAAAATATCCTCAATTGACCTCATCTATTTTTATGGCGTCTATTTGTACCGAAGGTGTGAAATTTTCTTCTTCATCTTTTTCTTGTTCTGAATCGCCTGGGAGACAGAATGAGGTGGATGTAACTTATTTCTTAAGGTGCTTTGTGGATATCCACTCCATCAACTATGTGATGGGATTTCCTGAGCAGACGTTCCTCGTGTTAAAATATCCGCTGGATTCCACTTTGTGACAATGTAGCCAAATTTTTTCCACCTTCTGCTCAAAAAATGGACTGTGTGACTTGTCGGACTTCTTTTGTTCGATTTTTGACGTACGGCCCTGTTTTCTCCCGGTTCGGTTTGGACTGGAGCCATTTTCGCGCTATCTTCGAATCCGTTAGGAACACGATCTTCGAAATGTTCAGTGAAGAGTCGATGCTCAGAAACACGTTGAATGTTAAAGTGCGCCTATTGCTGTGGCGTTTAATTCAATTTTATGTGTTGTAATTGGATGCTTCATGTCTCACTTTGATTCTGCCATGAAGAAGCAAGAAGTTTTTTACGTAGTTAGATATGTACAGTCTCTCATTGCAATCGCGCTGGCATCAAAATATGTGACAAGTGCATACGATCTTATGCCATCCTATGTACGATCCTTGGCAACTCTTTACGGAACTCGGATTTGTCTTGCACAATGCAATTCCACTGTTGTTTATGCTCTTTACTTAGTGGTTGTTCCCGGTCGTAGTGGTTTCCATAGCAATTGGTGGAAATACTTCGCTTCGACCACAAGTGGGATGTGAACCATCCAAACGGACCATATACGGATGCAAATCGTTGGGCATCGTGCGATTGCTAACGACTTCTTCACGTTGTACTTTTATGCACCACAAAAATTTATCTGTGATTGAATTCCATGGTATCCCAAGTACTTTGGGTGCGGTGTTTGAAGGTCAATCAGGAGCTGATATAGCTCTCATAATGTCTACGTTGTTGCTTAGAAATGCTCGTAGGTTCATTCTGAGGTCGTTGATAATCGACTTCAAACATCTGTATTTATGTACGCCTTCCGTTGCTGTACCCGCACTAATTGGACTATCCACATGGGGATTGGATGCGATTTCTGTTGCAAGTTTTTTGTCCTGCACGTAATTGTCCAAGTGGAAATGGATCGTTGCACTCAAGAGAAATGGTGAAGCATCAATACCAAAGGTAACCCTCCTGAATCTGTAGGCGACTAAATTGTCTTTCCTTAATGGGCTTCATCGTGTTCTTAAACATCTGAAGTCTCTCTCTTCTTCATGAAAATGTATTTCAAGAAAGGCTTTTTCAACGTCTGGTAATAGGACCAACTTTTCAGTTCGAAAGCGCAGAAGCATGCCATATAGTTTAGGGATTATGTTGGGCCCTTGATGCACCACGTCATTGAGTGACGGACAGTTCTTGTAGTGCGCCGATGCATCAAAAACAACTCTGATTTTGGCGGTATCTTTTTGTGGAGTGATAAGGGACTGATGAGGAAGATAATGTTTTGGTTTCCCAATGGTATCCTCCGTTTCACCTACTTCTTCCAGGATTCCTTTGCTCAACTGAACTTGAAATACTTCGTGGTACTGTTTGAGAATGTTGGGTTCTTCTTGTTGTTGTTGGAAGTTTGGTTTACGCAATACGCTCCTCAGACGACGTAATACCTGAGCTGTTATCTGGTAGATGGTCATGTGGCTTTTTGACTGGAAGCCGAAAAACGTGGCCGAAACCACGTTTTTCGATAGTGCTTTTGAATTTCTCCAGTACTTGCTCATTGATGCGAGCTCTTTCTTCTTTTTCTGGACCACTGTTTTCCTGCTCGCTTGCTTGAGTCTACACGTTCCAGTGAGTTTCCCAATGGTCACTTTCATTCTCTAATTCTAATTTTCTAATTGTACGCGCAGCTGAATGAAAATGTTGCTCATTATTCTTAAGGATGAGGCGCTCGCCAGAGACCCTGTTCCCTAATCGCGTGAGTACAAGTGCGAGCCTCGATGGCAACATGAAGTGGGGTGCTCCAAACGGATCTAGGGGATGGAGAACTCCATGGTCTGGAATGTTCAACTTTATACGCTTTTTTTGTATGAAGAATAGATCTTTCCTTTGAAGTTTGCCCCCAGTAAACGTGCCAGGATAGCTTGCGTAAAGAGCCGCAGTTCACGTTGTTCTCCCTCAAGGTCTCATATTTTTAAGCACGTATCGATGCATCGAATTTCCTTTGCCGTCACTGCACCGAATGTCCTGAGTTTTATGGTGACTACGCCATGACTTGCTGAGTGGAGCTCATCGGCCAACTTGGCATAAACAAAACTACCATCAGCACCCGTATCCAGCAGAACTTGAAGTGTAACTAGTTTTTGTGTTCCTAGAGGTGCGGAGGAGTAGAAGCGTTAGCTGTGAAGCATGTCGATGTGCGATATTTTTACCACACTGCATGCATCCTTTGCTTTTGCATTCGACAAATTAATGCATTTTAGAGCTGCAACCGACGAAACGGTTGATCTACTTCAAATGCTCAAAACGTGCTTTTGGGGAAGCTATTTTTCGCAGTCTGTTGACCAATGCTCCCTACTATCACAATAGAAGCGAAATGGACTTTGAATTTTCTCTTGGGTTTGCGGTTTTACTGCCTCTTACTTTGACAGCTCTGTTATTCCCAACTTATCATATTCCTTTTAATCTCCTCCTCCTGTTTTATGACTCGCTCGAAAGTGGACATGAGTTTGCTCAGTGTCCAACTCTCCTTTGGAACTGGTGAAACCTTTTCTTTGAGGGTATTCCTTTGAGTAGTCTCTGTAGATTTCAAAAGAATCCTACTATATGTAACGCGCAAAGTGTGTCTGTTGGTTTGTCTGTGTGTGTACGTGTGTGTGTGTGTACGTGTGTGTGTGTGTGTACGTACGGCATTTTTAGCAGGCTGAGTCTCGGAGTGCGGCAAATCGCGTCGTCCGTGTCAAATTGTACGTTGTCCGATCTGTCGAACATGCCTTCTGACGGCCAGGCTAAGTCCCCGTCGATTTTGGGATCTTCTGCGGACTCATTCTTTGTGTCGTCATTTTTTACGCCATTGCGCTGTACTATTTCGCTCTTTTTCGGGTTTTTTCCCAGCTTTTGAGCAAGTTTTTGCAGTTTGTTTGTGCTTTCTGTCAGTCGTGCCTCCAACACGTAGAACATTTCGTTGGCACGGGCTATTTTTTCCATGAATGTCCGTCCGTGGCTGACATTCTGAGTCGATATCTTCTATATCATTCATGAGGTCTTTTTTGTTACCCCTAGTTTTTACTTCGACGAACTCTTTCTCTAATTTGTCTACGAGGGATTGCAGGGAATTCCCCGCGAGATTTTATGATTTTTATTCCGCCAGCTATCGGGTTTATTTACTTCAATGGTGCGCTACAACAGGGCAGAAGGTATTAGTTTGAACAAGCATGTGTAAACGAAAAACAGACAAACAAAGAAACGCTAAACTCACATAGCAGCTGAAAAAAGGGAAAAACAGAAGTCGCGCTTCCAGCATCCCAGGCCTGCCGTACACAAAAAGAACGACCCCATAAGGTCAGCACAGAACTAATATCTGCCCTCTGTGTGTCAGGGGCTCAAGAAGACAGTGACAACATACAGATGGTTGTTTGACTTAATACAGAATGACAGCATAGAAATGCAGATCAGTCCGTGCAACGCAACCATCCAAAGTTGTTATCGGGCGGGCCAAAGTAGAAGCCTTTTTAATCTAAACACAAACCCAGGGCGTAAGACCCAGACCAATGTTTTGCTTGAAGCATACTTGTTGACTCATACCAGGTTTACTGCGGTATAGTACTCTTCATACAGTGTGCGATCATCCCTGCAGAATTTATTTTCATTGCGCAAGAGTTGTACTTGTCTAGGAGAGTGCTAAGAGTTTTTGACTCCAATCAGCTTTCTGAGGAAAATCAGCGACATTTCGAACCATTTAATTGTTTATTGTCCTTTTTTCCAAACTCGTTCCTAGTCTTTGGATTATGCCAAAAACAAGCTGGTACTGTTGCTTTAAACAGTTATAGTTCCTGGTTCCAGCGGGTTTTTAGGCGAAGGAACGAGCCTTTTATGGTTTCGCCTTTAAACGGAGGTTTATTTCCAAATTCAATCGCAGTTATCCGATGGAACGGGAAAATATGGCTGTTTTAACCGACGCACCGAAAATTGTCCCCGTTTGGGAACAAGCGAGTCTTATTGGTTGCTCGATGAAGTTTTACCGTTCTTTGGGTCGTGTGTGGTCGGTAAACGGTGACTATGCGCAAGTTTTATTAGGAAAGCACAAGAAGCCCTTATCAGCGGTGCAACCGGGTATTTATAGCCAGCCGATACGGGGCGGCAAACATAATGGGGTTATCAAAGGTCAAAAAGGTCACAACTAATCTATTGGGCTATAAAAGGTCAGAAGGAGGTGGGGGGGGGGTTACAAACAGTGTGTGGGCTACAATAGTAAAAGGGCCGCGCGGAGTGAGACAGAAGACATAGGGAGGTGTAGTTGAACTGGCAGACCTCAGTAAACGTGCCCATTGATTTCTAGCCCAAAAATGCTTGCAGCATAAGAGGCCAGTGTTTGAAGATCACGTAAAGCAAACCGCATCTCCCCT